AAAATAACAAGAGCCAGGTCTGTTTTTTACGATGTATGAATGAAGTTTCACAGGTAAATTCAGTTAATGAGTAAATGACAAAACCTTCGTGATCATTATTCCTAGTACGTTCTGCCCAAAAAACCTGCCATATATCACTTTACTCATGAAGCAGACTTCGGACCATTCGAGTAAATCACATCTAACTTGTGTTTTGAGGAAAAAGCAGTAGGAAACCGACCAAGTCTAAGGTGTTACTAAACCTTCGTTACTTAAACTTTCGTTACCGATATCCTAAAACTAAATAAAGAATAAAGAATAACTCAGTATTTAAGTACTTATTTGCCGCCTTTTGTACAACAGCCTCCATTGAGAGCAGCAGACGAATCTCGTGCAGCAGACTCTTTCTGTTTTGAAAGCAACTTTTCGTGTGTAAGTATGACTATAAATTAAAGTGTGACCAAGCGGGCCTACCCAAAATGTTTAAATGGCATATTATAACCAGAATCTTTCTTTTTTACAAGTACATGTTGAACTTGATAAATTGTTGTATATAAAATATAATTCAAACGTGTAAACCTCCGTGACCATTTGGTAACGAAGGTTTGCAGTTTGAGTATTGTTTTGTATATCACTTACTGTGACATAATTATATCAGCAGGGCATAAAATTATGTGCGATACTAGAAGAACAAATAGTTGTTATTTTTTAAAACTCGAATATTCATTGATTTATAAAACACAGAAGAAAATAAAAGATGGTGAATTTAATTAACATGTATATATTAATGTACTTGAGATTAATCAGTTTGCTGGAGGAGAAGAGATGGATATCTGGTATGAACGATATATTGTGCATTTAATAAATATCCTCTTAAGTTGCAAACAAAATTTGTTTTTGATTGAAAGAGACTTCTGCTGTATTTAAAAAAGGCTAATCAAAGGTAACGAAAGTTTCATGTTGGTAACGAAGGTTTCTAATAATTTCAGGGTCACAATAAGATACAGATATGGTGAAGAGTAGAGCAGAAATACAAAAAGCCTATAGACAGAGACTTAAGGAAAGGAATGCAGAAGAATATCTAAGAAAAGAACGTGAAAGGGTTAGACGAAATTACATTCCATCCTCTGCACTTTCAAATGATGAAAGGCAAAAACGGAATGCGAAAAACCGTGAAAAGTTGCGTCTATTCTACGCTAGAAAACGCGAAGAAAGGGTGCACAATGACACTGATGAAACAAGTGGATATGAAAGCGAAAAAGACCGCCCTCTTCTAGTTAAAATGAATTTCGGAAACAGGCGCAAGGGCGCCATTCAAAGATGGAAACGGGAGCTATCAGAAGTAAAAGCGAGAATGAAAACGTTGGAGTAAGAAAAGTTAATTCTTAAAAAGAGGTGTAAGACAGCTCAGAGGTCACTACAAAGAATGAAAAAGAAGAAGATACAGTGTGGTGAACTGACACCCAGAAAGCAAACTGAAAATCTCATGGACAAGGCACAGCTAACATCCAGCCAAAAGGAGGTAATAAAAAAACCTCTGCTGTTGGCGAACACTATGATGAAAGAAATAGGGCGACTAAAGAGGGAACCAAAAAAGGAAACGTGAAAGCCATACACAGGGTTATTTCTGGTCGCATCGTCAAGAAGTACAGGTTGGGGAGCTTGCTGGCTGCTTCCACAGGTCTATGCCGACATAGATTGTCTACAACGGACAGCAAAATGCACCAACTGAGAAGAGCACAACGATTTAATGCCTGCCGACGATATAAAAGGCAAGTGGAAGAGTTCCTCAAAAGAGAGGATAATAGCCGACAACAACCAGGCAAAAGGGATGCCAAGAAGGTAAAAGATGGATTGTCACAAACTTTTGTTTTAACTGATTACACAAGGAATTTGCACAAAAAATTTTTGTCGGAAAATCCTACAATAAAATTGTCACTTGCATCATTCTGTCGATGCCGTCCAAAATACATACTGACAGCTGCGTATGCAGGTCGCAGCTCCTGCTTATGCACCAAACACCAAAATGCAGCTTTAACTGTCAAAGCCTTAAAGCGTGCAGGGATTGACATACCAGCAAATCCAGAATCTGTCATCAAGAATATGCCTGATGTTAATCAAATTGAAGAGGCTGTTGGTGACTCGACTGTGATTACGCAGTGGAAACGAGTGGAGATAGAGGAAAAGGGAAGAAAGAAATATGTCACGAAAATGATTGAATCCACGCTCGATAGAAAACAGATTGCAAGCCACTTTAAAGGTCAGATGAAGGATTTCAAAGAACATGTCTTCCGTGTGGGTACACAATATGAACAAATCAAGAAACTGAAAGAAAATCTTCCCGCTAACGAGATGATTGTTCAACTTGATTTTGCAGAAAATTACAGCTGTAGGTCTATGGAAGAGGTACAGAGTGCGTACTTTAATCAGACAACCGTCACCCTACATCCCGTAGTTGCCTATTATCGTGTCTCAGGCGAGTTACTACACAAAAGCTTCATCGTTGTTTCAGATGAAATGACACATGCATCTCACACTGTCATCGCTTTCGTGGATGAGATAGTTCCGCTCTTGAAAGAGATTGTTCCAGATTTAAGGACTATACATTACTGGAGTGATTCTCCCACTAGTCAGTACAGAAACAAGCACATGTTCGATTTTGTAGCTAACCATGAATCCATGTACCAAGTTAAGGCCAGGTGGAACTACTTTGAAGCCGGCCATGGGAAGGGGCCGTGCGATGGCCTGGGCGGTTCCTGTAAGCGTCTCGCTGACCAAGCAATGAGAGCAGGCAAGGCCGTGATACAAGACGCAAATTCTTTTTTTGCATGGGCTGTCCAGTCGAGCATGACAAACGTCTCTTTCCTGTTTGTGTCAGCAGCAAAGTGTGAGAAAAAACAAAAAGTGCAGGAAAAGAGAGTAATCAAGCCACTAAAGGGAACTATGAAAGTACATGCCGTTGTGGGTTTGGGGGCATCCCAGGTCAAGGTTCGCAATGTCAGTTGCTACTGCAACATCTGTTTGTCTGGAATAACTTGCACTACCTGGCAAAACCAGGTGTTGCAAGTCACCACCTACGATGGAAACAATCAAACCTCAGATCTGGATGCTGATGAGACACCCGAGAGAGATGCCGCTGTCCTGACTGTCGGGCAGTATGTCGCAGCAATTTATGATGGGGAGTGGTATATTGGAAAGATCTCTGATACGGATGAGGAGGATGAAGAGGTGGAGGTGTGTTTTATGGAGAAACGCAAGCAGCTGCTACAATGGCCTTCTAGAGAAGATAAAATCTGGCTAAAACACGACGCCATTTTAACCGTGATCAGTGTGCCAGAGGCTTGCGGAAAATCACAACGCATGTTTAAACTGTCGGAAAAGGATAGAGAACGCATACTGAATATGTTTTAAAAGAAGTATATTTTTATTGTTAATGTTTGAACATGTTCTTGAACAGATATTTACTTGTTGTTACAAGTTTGTTACTCTCAAACTCACTTGCAGAAGTTAATTAAATAATTTTACAGGATTATAAAACTTTCGTTACAAAATGTCATTTTACCCTATTATCCAAGGCGGAAAATATCATATAGAGACTTTCTACTGTTTGTTTGTAAATCACAGCAAGATGTAGCCTATGTTATGCGAATCTTTAAAGTGATCTTAAAGCTTAATTTTAGTCTTTGGTAGAAATGCAAACTGTGGAATATATTTAAACCTTCGTTATGTATTATGCATTTACGTAAACCTGACCTATCTTTTCCAAGGTGGAAACTTCAAACCTGGGAGCTTTACTATTTGTTTTGAAATGAAGTATTTTGTCTGTTTAACAATGAAACAAAGGCTACATTTTTGCTTTTTGTAACTTTTTTTTCCTTTAATAAATTATTCGCTTAATGTACACACAAATCGACCGAAATTAGATGCAGTGTTTTGTTATATATTATAGTACAGAGTGAAATCACAGCAAGATGTTAATGATGCATGTTTTTAAAGTGATATTTTTAAAACTTTGTTTCAGTTTTATACATCTTAAATACCAAACTGTGGAATGTCATGTTGGTGTTAAAAACATTAAATCTTCGTTACGAAATGTGTGTTTCATTTGTATCTGGATTACATATTACAGGGTAGAGAGTACTTACCAGGGAACAATGTCTTTTCTAAAGAAAGCACATAGGTTTTATTTCACATGAAAATCAAGCCTTACGGGTGTCTTAGATTTACTGTGGGAAAAAGGACAGACTTATGTGTGAATTTTGAAAAAGTTTTTTTCATTTTCTCTGATCGCACAACATTTTTAGACAAAGGCTCTGGTGTGCATTTTCTGCCCTGTATCTTTTATTTCTACTGTGCAGAATTTGTGCAACATAACTATTTTACACTGTATCGTTTTGAAAAAGCCTAGCTCGCTGCATAAGTTCATACGACGCCTTAAAGTATGTGTACCTCTGTGATCACGAAGGTTTTTTGTGCCCAGTTTGAGTCTCTATACCCCTTTGTTACGGCACACGTATCTCAGGATCGGTGAAAGTGTTGCATACAGAATTTTTGGGCAAATTTACTGAATAATACAGGGTCGCTTTAAAGCATAAAACAACATCAAAATGATAAATTCAATTTTCACTTTTTAAAAACCCTAATTGGACCTAGTTATTGAGAATGGCCGATTACGAATATTCATCAGTTCTGTAAGTTTCAAGCCAAAAGAAAAAACAGTTTTCCACTTATCCTGTTATCGGTAAAAGTGCACACCAATGGTGATGGCGACGACAGACACAGGTGACGGCTATATGTACAGACTCATCTGTGTCTGTACATAAAAGAATGGTGAAGTGTCTTTGGTTCTTTCTTGTCTACTGGTAGATACACAAACATGCACATCCATGTAAGCACAAATCATATAGTTATGCAGACACTCGTTTTCACGTGATATTTATTTGTCTACTGGTAATCTTTATTCATAACTGTGTGAAGCTAAACATGCATGATCACCGACTTTTATAGCAACCTACACTCACCTGGTTTATTGGTATTTCTGCTATCAAGATGTCCAACTGAAATTTGAAAACAGTTAAAATTACTTGAAATGGTTCAAGTTATGATGACATATGTATATTACGTAATTGCAGACAAGAAAAATATGTTTAAAGATGCATACAAAGTCAATTTTTTGTCACAAAAACCAACCAAATGCCAGCATATAGTTTCAAGTAGTATAACTAAGAGAATTACCAAAAGGCATTGTTTAATTTTTACCCGAAAATGATGTTTGAACAGATTTTTCTGCTAGCATTCTAAGCTGTATGTCAATGGGGCAGGAAAGTAGGTCATGGAAGTAGGTTAAATTTACAACCATAAATTTAAAGAAAGGAGCAGTCTAAAGGTCTTTTATGGCTGATCGAGTTATCTATTCAGTTTATCCCTTGGCATGTCAAATTTATTTGAGTCATATAAGAATCTAGTAGAAGTGGTTTACATGTGTTACTGGGAAACCACTATCCACCGATGCTTGGTTCGTATGTACCTTTAAAATATAAGAAAATAAAATATAATTTTCGCACAAAAATTTTGATTCCCAGGACGGGATCCTGATTCGTATGAAGTATCTTAATTGCTGCAGATATGGATGTGCAATGCAGTTTTTTGCTACATATAATTTTAACATACAAAATGTGCTGTTTAAACAGAGCCCAAGTTATATATTTATATGACAGGTGTGAATGTTATTTTGTATACTTTGGAAATTAACCTTGGCCTTTGTGCATAATGATACGCAACTTCTGGTAATTTCCAGAAGTTAAACGCATAAACTATCTCGCTATAACTATGTTGCTTCCCCTATATATGAGACAGTACCCGGTAGCTTAAGCGCACGCAGTGCACCCTGTTCCCCATTAATGGAAATTTGGATACCACTCAAATTTCCACAGAGCAAAAATCTGGACAGACTCCAAATCTGCACCCAGCAGAAATCTGGCTAGGAGACAAGTCTGCGCCTAGCATGCAGAAAACCAAATCTGCGCCTCTGACCTATTCAGCACTTGCTACCGGCACATCACTCCCATGTCAAAAACAATTACAGTTACTGCGATTGGGATTGAGAACGCAACAAATAGAAAGGCCTATATATGACATAATGTATTAAAATGAATTTACAGCAGCTGCAAGGTATACCCGGTATGTTGCCATGGGTAATAATTAGTTCTAGCCTATTAACATCAATAACAGCGCTTTGTTCATTAATTCCTAAAAAGACATCAATTTAATACTGTAACGAATTTATCAAAATATGAAAAACGGTGCTTTAAAGTAAAAGTGATTGTTCCTTGTGTCTTTAGTGAACTAGTGAATTTTCCTAACTTGTTATTCAGAAATACATTCCAATAAACTTCCTCGCAAGGTCAGTAAACACGAGGATGAATAAGTCCAACTGTAAATGTGATGAAGTGGTGTTAACGATGCTGACAGTTTACGGTATCCTGTTATAGATACATGTAGATAGACAGGTTGTGGTAATCGTGGAAACCCTAACATAAAGGCCATACATAAAACACCCTAAATATATTTAGCCATCAAACGCATCATACAGTACTGCTAAATACATCCAGGCTAAAAAGCTTGTAACATGCTTAGTAGCTAAATATGTTTAAAAAATTAGACAAAGCAGGCACTTACATGTAGAAATGTGTTTAGGAGCTAAACGATGTTTTTACAGTGTACTGTTGCGTTCTCAATCTCAGTGACTGTAATTGTTTTTGACATGGGAACCAGGGCGAGCTTAGATTTTGCGCTTGAGATTCTGTCGCATATATATAGGGAGCGACATATAGTTGGATAGTCGAAGATAGTTGGATACTTGAATAGTGTAGAGGAGTGGGATAGAAGAGGGTACGTTGTTTTACAGTTAGTTTTAGAGTTAGGTAGTTAGAGATTCACAGCCTTAGTTTAGCCTGAAGTTTGTACAAGAAAACCTTCAGTTGTCAGGAGAAATAAACAAGACTCACAACTGATATATGGATGTGGCAGCATTTGTTTTTACTTTACATACCAATTGTGTTTCGAACAGTTAAATAAAGAAATGCATGTATACCTGTGTTTTTGTGTAAAAAATTTAAAAACATTTCAGGTAATTTTAATGTCGAACAACTGGGGTTGATACAATGTTGTTATCTGACATTAATACAATGTTGTTCTTTGACGATGATCCAAATTTCAAATCCAATCTTAATCTAACATCCTTTCAGCGTTGAAGTTAAACATCATTTCAACTTTGAAACATCAATCATGATTTGTCCCCTGGGATGTCATATATGCTGGAACGGATTGGTACCCTTACCTTCTTTACAGTTGTCTTCATCCTTGGAGTAATGTGATGCTGCATCAAAGCAGATCTTTTCATCACTTTCCAAGATATGTGGCTTAGAGCCAATAACATCAGGACACTGTCCACCAGTCAGGTTGTGCATACCTAAATATAGAGAAACTTATTTGAACTGCTGTTTTAAGTGAGCTGCTACATTGTGTACGTTATAGAACTGGTACAGATCAATATGGGCTGGTACAGTTTATATTGTACTTAGTGAACTGGTTACTGTTTGAAAGTATTTTTCCAAATTTCAACTCGAGTTTACTAGTGCATGAGACCTGCATGAGACCTTTATTGCCCGTTTTAAATACCAACAAGAAAGAACAAAAAGCTGCCATCATAGCTCACCTGTCAAAAATTTACTATTGGTACCTAGCAAATCTTGTTGTAATGCCTGAGAAAAATTGTGTGCACACTCAATGTACTTAGCGCTGGGGATATCTTCAAGCTGGATAAGTGCACCTCTGAAATAACAGGATCCCTGAAATAAATGAAATATATTTTGTTTTTTACAGTTTACATGCTAGTAAGAGAGAAAATTACCATATCCAAACATGCCTGTGGAAGAGGGTCCCATTGCAAAAAGGGGGAGGGGGGTAGTGATCACAGTTCAAGGAAAATTAAATCATCAACTCACAAATCAGAGTACATGCATGCAGCTAACTTTATTGAAATTCATATCTCACTCAAAACGCAGGAATAAGAGTTTAAAGTAACGATTCACAGAGTATAAAGGCATAATTTCACAAATGATGTAAAATATATAAAAGCAGCAGTCACGAGCCAAGGGGTCATACATGCACAAAAAAAAAAAAAAAAATGAATTTTTGACTTATCTTGTTTGGATAGTACTCCCAATGGGGCCCTCATAGAAATGTTCATCAAAACAATGCCTTAGATACAAAAATGACACTCATTACTTTCATGCTTTTGTTAAACAAAACTGCATGTTTATATTAAAAAATTATCAATTCTTATTTAACTTAACTAATTGGAAGTTAACTTTCAGGAGACAAACAGGTTATTATACTCACCAAATATGGTCTGACAGGGTAACAGCCGACAAATGGTCCTTGCGAAGGCACCCCAAATATTGCGTAGTCAACTGAGCTGCAAACCTGGTGCAGCTTATCAGTAATCTCCGAGCTGAGCCTGGGATTTATATCGAAATCATATCGATATGCCCAGCAGAGTTCAGGAGTTGAGTAGTTACCAGCAGTTGTTAAGTTGAATTGGAGTTTTAACACTTTTGATGAAACTGAAAATATATACAAATGAAGCAAGATATCTACTTAACAACTGATACAATCAAATATCAAAATAATCAGTACATATGTTTCTTATGTGTAAGGGGTATAGAATGTGTACCCAGTTCTCGTCCCTCATATTAATGTTAATGTTAAACTTTTGTCCTTATGTACTTTGAATTACTCTAATCCATTTCTCCTGTTAGGACATAGCCTTTGTGCAAGAATTCTAGTACTAGTGAACATTATAATTATGTTTAAACTGCCATCAGCTCTTGGGTGTTGATAAGTTAATTGCTATTTGATGTACCATTGAATCAGAGTCTGTTACAACTTGGTCACATTGGGTGAGGTCAGAATTCCAGGTGTGTTAGGTGCTATAGTACGTGTTACAGATCCGTTAACATTCCTGTTAACCCAAATAAGAAAACATATGGAGCTCAGGTAAACAGTCTGTTGACATGTGGTCAACATCCTGCTATTCTGCTGCAGCATGTTGTTAACAGGCTGATAGTCCCATGTTGACCCATTTCCTGGTGTGTGACACCAGCAATGATAGCACAGTGGGAATCCCCAAGTCAACTAATACATGTGTGCACTAGAGGGAGCCTATACATACAAGTTTGAAGTGAGTAGGTAAGTTTGCAGTTTGACTATATAAATATGTCTGCTTACACTAAGGCAGTATTCCAAGAGCTTATAGGCCGATCTATCCCCGCCGGGAGTCTCACTAGATTACTGTCAGATAATCCGGTTTAAATGTCAGTCCCGCCTACTACAAGCTGTAGGGGGGTAATTAACTTTCGTGTCCGCCCGGCTGACAGCTATTTAGCGTGAACCCCCAGGGAGTTAGGTCGATCTAAAGTAGATCGATCTAATCTCTGGAAATGGGGTCTAACATATTCAGTCTTGACCTCTTGAAGATGTAACACCAGCTTAACCACTTGGTGGTTATAAACTTTCTAAAATTAAGAGGAATTCAAATGTTTTATTTCTGATGTGCTAAATATCGAAAGCAGATAAACTAAAATAATTCTGTGATAACCTGTCGTTGATCCCTATAGAAAAGGATAAGCACATATAAGCTTAACACTTTTTAGTTTTCTATGATTAATTTAACAGTTTATGCAACAGAGATGTTTGGTGTAACACCGTCTGTTACAGGAACTGTAGTTTTCAACAGATATCTGCTACACTAACATTGGTGCATGTTCCACTGGTGTTTAGTAAGAGGTCAGAATTATTAATTAATGTAACATATCTGTAACATCTGTAACCTAACACATAACATACAGTACCTGGAATTCTGACCTAATATACTCACCCATTGTGTTCAGCAGACATATTGATTTGCACCTATCACAATAAACAGATCAGTTAACAAAATGCACATGATAAAATATGTTCCCTGAGCAAAACCTAGTTTACCAGCTACACATGTTCCATTATCTTCATCCCCTCTCAACACTCGCCCCATTTTACACACTAATGATCCATTGTAGCTGACATTTGCAGAGGTCAAAGCAGGGCAGTTCACAGTGGCTGTGATGTTTTGCAGCATAAATCCTGAACTAAAGTTTGCTCTCAAGAATGCAAGCAAATTCTGTCCACATTCATGGATTTCTTTTGATGTCAGCCCTTCCTTAGCAGAGAAGTGGTAACCATGGGTCATTTGGATGTGAATCTGAAACGTAAGATCATTTTTTTCCGAATGTCCTGAAATGTTTTGTTTCAAAATATGAACTCTAATTAATAAAAAAAAAAAGAGGAAAAGATAAAGTGCAAAAAGTTAAATTTGACATGAATTCATGAGCGGAGTAAAAGAAATCAAATAACTATAAGAATTCAATATCATATACTTTCTTGTTTTCAGTTTTAAAGACAAAAACAACTTTAAACATAAACCAAGCGACTTTTTTCAGACAATAAAAACAACTTTTCTGGTACATTGTATTACTTACTGACAAAGCATCCTCTATGATAACAAATAAATACATTGTATTAGTCGTAAGTGAGTAATCACCTTTCTGTCACTGATGAATGCCTTTCCTCTGAGAAATTCAATTTTTGCAAAGTAAAGCCTGCAGATACCAAAACCATATTCAGCAAGGTTGGGTACAAGCTGTGCCTGTGGACTGGTGTGCAGGGGCCGTTCCAAGTACTGGTTGGATGTGATGAAAAATGAACGCCGAAGCCTTTGCAAGCAAGCTTCATTGAAGTCAACGGGTATTGGAGAAGTAATAATGACTGTGATCTGGAAACCTGCAGATGAGAATAACGTATTTATATCACAGTGAAGAGAAAAAGACCTCATTATTTTGTAAGTATATCACATATTTCCCATAATTGCAAAAATCTGAGATAAATTCAGACAACAGCATGCATGTAAAGCCACCTTTTGTGGGGTCATGTTGATACTCCCCCCGCACCATTACTCCCCCGCACCGATACTACCCCACACCGATAATCCCCCTTAGTAATTTTTTGTATTATGCCCATCGATGTGACTCCACACCAATAGATCCCCGCACCGATACTCCCCCGCACCGATACTTCCCTGCACCGATACTCCCCCTCAGTATATCTGTAATTGTGGGGGAGTATCGGTGCGGGGAAGTATTGCTGCGGGGATGTACCGGTGCAGGGGAGTATTGGTGTGGGGACGTATAGGCATGCAACCCATTTTGCAACCAAATGCATTTTGCAACAGAAATGCTTTTTTCAACCAAAGGAAAAGAAAACAAAACAAAAACAAAAAGAGAAAACACATTTTGCAATTGAAACCATTTTTTTCTTCAAAGTCACTGAAATTGTTTATTAGTACTTCAATTGAAGTGGAATCGGAATGAGAATGGATTGCAGTTGATTACCTCGGCTTGGTATGCTGAATTAGGTCAGGCTGTCTCTGGGGCCATTGATTATATATAATTTATTTCACAAAGTAATTTTTCAGACCATCCAAGTAAAGAATTAAGAAAAACAATTTTATATAACTTCATTGGATCTATACCTATCTGTACTGACAACATACATGTATAACAGTAAAAATTAAGAATTGTTAAACAGCTTTAAAGCCATTTCCAATAGTTTTGGGCATAAGAAAACTGATAGTAAAGAAAAAACTGCAGAAATTTTCAGTTTTATGATAACAGATGTTCTGTGGAAATTATTTTCAATTGTTTTGGATAAGGTTAACCTTGGCAATGAAGAAAAGTTGCGCATATCAAAAAATGAGCAAAAATGTTAATTAGCTTGGTAGTTGGATCATAAATGAAAATTATCCAACACAAGCCAAAATACTTTTGTACCGTTAGCTTACGGCCAACCTGGATGAAGGCCTTCATCGGGGGAGGGGGGGGGCGGTCTACCTGACATGTGTAAGAGGGTCCTGGTCCATATACCCATACACTTAGCGGTCAGTGAGTGTGAACATCTACTCACATATCAGTCTGATGAAGGCCTTCGCCCAGGTTGGCAGTAAGCTAACAGTACGAATCATTTCGGATTGTGCTTGATAATTTTCAGTTATGATATCAAATTAATTTTAATTATAATAATTTTGACCTTACAAATGCCTAGCCTGCATATTGTGCCTTTAAAGATAAGTACAATAATATGTTTACATACCTGGTATTTCACCCATTGGTAATGCACTAGGAGCTAAAATGGAAGAATATTTATTGCATTAATAATGTGTCTTAATCCAGAATGAAGAAAGAATGCTGTCAGTTATGGATCTCTGTGAAGAGAGGGGAAGGGAATACAGAGGGCACACACTAGATGCATCCACGATATTGCTATGAAATAACACAGCATGTAGATGGGGCTTTGCTGACTTTACAATTCTTTTGAATTACATATTGTGCATCAGTATAGAAACAACTGTGACACGTTGCTGTTGGCCTATTTCACAATTTCCATAAAAAATACATAAGTGTTTTTATGATATTCAACAGAAATCATCTCTGTAAGGCGTGGGGGTATATGTAGAAAAGTAAACATGTATTGGGCGATATTGTACATGCATGCAGCTTCTACCAGACAAGCCAGCCCTCCCTCTTCAAGGTACAGACCGTTCATGCAGATGGGGCCATGGATTACAACCTGTGCCCCTCTGCAAAAGACAGCATTTTCATGTAGCCATGTACTGTGTACTGCTCCACCTACAGTTGTAGAACCGGTACATAGGGGGTAGCCTATTAAAGGTGGCCTTAATGAAGCCCACCCAACACCTTTCCTCTCTAGTTACAGTAGTTGTGGCTGGCAGGATGTTAACTTCAGCAGTAAGGAAAATGTCTGACTCCTGGAAGGTGAGAACACTCCTGGATAAATCTACCTCAGACTGCCCCGAGAAATGCATTGCACTTGTTGTGAAAGAACTTCAGCACTACAATCTGGATCTGGTGGCATTGCCAGGCATGGGTGAACTAAAAGAGCTTGTGTTGGTGGTGATAATTTATGGGATATGATGATGTTTTCACAGTTTATTTTACAATTTGAGAGATGTATGTATGATACGAGCGCTGCACGTGGTGCTTGATAAAAAATATGCACATTTTTCAGGTAATGAATTGCTCTAATCGGTAAAGTAACAAAAATAATTGTATAGGAAAAAGTCAAAGGACAAAAGTCACCTGAGCTAGATCAAATTTGAGTCATTTTTAGGAAATATGAACCAAATGGTAATTTCATTAAGGGAAAGGACAGTTTATAACAATATTTCAAAACTCTCTGTGTATTCCTTTAGAACTACCCTTCAGTTGCTTAATGAAATGATACAAAAATTATTCCTTTATTGTATTAGTTTTTCATAATAAGGATGTTTTCCCTTCCCCTACCCCCATCTTGACTGTTATGCAACATGGTGATATAAAATGTCCATTTAGATAAGGAAGCTACTGATTTGAAAGTGCTACCACACATAACTTCTGACTAAATGGGCTTTTGCATGAGCCTAACGAACCTTGGCCACCCAACTGGTTCCTATGGGAAAATTTAGGGATCTACCGGTGCCTGAAGGACTATTTACATGTATATCAAAGTTGGAACATGTATGCCACAATTTTCTGGCAAAATTTGATTTAGTTTGGGTAATAACGTTGTGAATGCATCATGTTTTAAAACTTTTGGACTCACCTCCCTAGACTTATCACAAATGATTTGTCCGTCTGTCTATCAGAATAACACCTGTAACACACTGAGAAATTTACTGGTATTCTTTAACTGAAACTCGCACTTTCAAAAATATTTTTAAAACGGTGCAATACTAACTTGGAGTTTGGCATTTCCATCCAGTGAATTCTGGTCTACACAAACAAGTGACACCATTGGGGTCCCCTGAATTTTCTATACAACTGCCTCCATTGTAGCAAGGCTCTGACGGGCAGTTACGACCAGGTCCTGTGACAAAGTATACAAAACTACTGTAGTATCTTCAACCATTTTTAACAATGATCCAGCATTTTTCCTATATGTTTCCGTACCTGATTGCCTAAATCACTTTAACAAGTATTAACATTAATCAAGTTTCTGATAATTATCTAATGAAAGTGTTGCTGATTCATTATATAGGGCAAGTTATCCTTCTGGTACATGTATCTCAGGGGCAGATTTAGGCCGTCTTCTGGGTCTTCTGGAAGACAGTTAGATTTTCAAGTTTACATTAAGGCCACACTTTTTTATTTTTATGGATGACATCCTCTGGGGACCCCAAAATCGGTGCGAGCGGGCGAAAAAAAAAACGGTCAAAAAAAAAAAAAAACTGCTTAAGAAAAGTTGTGTTTTCAGTACACAGCGGGAAACACTAATTTACCACAGAAACACGTATCAAACTAACAACATGTCTTTATCCATGCTCTCAAAATATTAAAGCATTGTGAATAGGGCCTACTTCGTAGAAAGGTAAAAAGTCATGAATATAGGGGCCTAGGGGAGACCGGGGCTAGTTGGACCCCAGGGTAAGTTGGCCCCCCGTCAATTTATGAAAAAGTAACTACGAGGTAAAAAAATTGGCCACATACTCTTGTAAAGTGACCGTAGCCTACAATGCTAAGGAAGTGTCGGACGTCAAAAAGTTTTACTGAAGCGGTGAGTCGAAATAAACAATTTTAGCACCTAAAAGTAATTTTGTTTAAGAGATTTAAAAATCTATTTTCATAGGCTTTTGATCGAATATAAGATATGTATAGGGCATCAAACTGAAGCTCATTGTTTCAAGTTTCACATAGATGTATCATCGTTGCTCATTCTAGCACCATAAATGGCTACCATCCTTTAAAATAAATAACGTGCACCCGGGGCTAGTTGGCCCCCTTGACTCGGGGTAAGTTGGACCCTCATATTACCCACAAACCTCTGCGCGCAACGCTGTTTGAAATAAACAAGTTGGTGAAATTGACAAAGCTTGCCGGTGTCTATTACCGTCTGATTGATTTTTTTAATTTTCTCACTGGTGTCTTTTTGAACATTTATATTAGAAATATTCTGTTGATTGTAAGTATTAAAAAGCAAATCCATTGGACTTTCCGTAGAAAAACATTTATTTTGCCTTAATTCATTGTAAGGGGATTCCCTTTGTATTTTTAGTGTTATATGTGGCCCCAAGGGGATTTTCCACCCCTCCCTAGCTAGAGACCATTATTGAAAAAACTCTACAACTGAATTTGTTACTTTCTTTTAAAAAGAAAATTTATTATTCGTTTTCATTCATTAAAAACCTTCTTTATACCATTATTTATTTATTCTTAATTAAAACAAAATACATTTTATTGATAGATATTTTGGTTCTTGCAACACATAC